AAAAAAAAAAAAAACCTGGGGGCGGGGGAGAAGATTTAACAACCTCAACTTTTTTTTTTTTTTTTTTTTGAAACTCTTACAATAAGAAAATGGAGGGGACACATCTGGGTGGGAGGGGGGAGAGGGAGGAGGGAGGGAGGTTTTGGTGATGGGACACAATAACTAACTACATTGTATATTGACAAAATAAAAATAAAAGAAAGAACATCAGAAAAAAAAAAAGAAGTGTATATAATGGCCTTGTATAATGAAGTCTAGTTATGCTGGACTGTTCTGACTTGGTTTAACTATTCTGTTAACTCTTGTGGATGTTGGAGATTGGAGCTGAACAATCTTTGCCTGAAATGGCACTATGTAATTTCCTCTTTGGAGTATACTTAAATCTAACTTGTGATTCCTGGTAGCACAAGCTTTATTTTTATAGCCTAGCAATGATCTAAAAGCAGAGGAATTCCAAGATCGTAAAATTTTTTCTGTGATTTTCTCTAAAAAAGTTCCTAATTGTTTTCAGAAAATAGAATTTATGGGTAGAACATCTGTCCATTATTTGCACACAAAATAAACTCATTCCTAAAGTTAAGAAAGAGAGAGAGAGAGAGAAAGAGAGAGAAGGCCATCTAAATGGAGAAGATTCCAACAACATGGGAAGGACAGCACTGAGCAGTCACTTTAGAACAGTCTGCTGAAACTAGCTTCTAACAGCAGAGTAATAGGGAATGAGCCCTGAAATGCAGTTAATAAATCTGTAATTGAGCCCCTGAAATGAGTAACTGAGCTCTGAAATGCTGCTGATAAATCTTTAATTGAGTTAAGGAGACGAGATTTGTTAGACAACAGAGATCACTTAAGTGTTTGAGATGGATGATAAAAATCAAGAAAAATTTAGGAAAATCAGTGTGGTATTAGACACAGGAGTAATTAAGAAGTCACATCCAGGATTAGTCAGCAGACTTCTAGAATTATAAAAGTGGGAACAACTCAAGTGACCATTTACCTCAATCACTGATTTTGTGGACAGTGAAATGGAAACACAGAAACTCTAACTGGTTGACAAAGCTAGTTAGACATATAGGTTGAGAAAACTCAGAGATCAGAAAAGACTCAATAAGATAACACAATGAAACAAGAAAAACTATCCAGGATATGAAAGGGGAAATTAATAATACAAAGAGATTAATACCTTTAAAAAGAATGTAGCAGAACTCCTAGAACTGAAGGATTCACCCAATGAAATAAAAAACACAACAGAGAGCTTGAGCAGCAGGCTAGAGCAAGCAGAAGAAAGAATTTCAGATCTCAAAGATGGTCTTTTTGAAATAACTCAGGCAGACAAAGAAAAGGAAAAAAGAATTTTAAAAAATGAAGAAAATCTAAGAGACTGAGCAGACAACCTCAAGCTCACAAACATCCAAATCATTGGTATTCCAGAAGGGGAGGAGAAAGGAAAAGCTATTGAAAACCTATTCAAGGAAATAACAACAGAAAACTTCCCAGGTATATGGAGAGATGGTCCAGGAAGCCCCAAAATTTCTAAACAGATTCAATCCAAAAAGATCTTCTCCAAGACACATCATAGTCAAACTGTCAAAGCTCAGAGACAAAGAGAGAATTCTAAAAGCAGGAAGAGAAAAGTATCAAGGGACCTATAAGGCAGCCCCCATCAGACTAATAGCAGACTTCTCAACTGAAACCTTACAGGTCAGAAGAAAATGGGATGATATAATCAAAATACTAAAAGAAAAACATTTCCAGCCAAGAATTCTATACCCAGCAAGGCTGTCTTTCAGAAATAAGGGAGAAATGGTGTATATCCCAAACAGACAAAAATTGTGGTGTAGTGGGTTAGAAATCGTGATTCTCATTTGATTTTAGAATAAGGTTTTTAGGTAAATGCATGTATGGGTCAAAAGCCCTAGGACAGGGGGCCACAGCCCATAGATAGTGTGGCCAAAGCCCATCTTATCACTCTTAGTCACTGATTAGGTACAGGACTGTATACTTTAATTATTTTAGAGATGACAGGTAGTTGTCATACTGGTTCTGGTTCTTTTAAGAGATTTTAAGAATTGCTGAAGGAAAAGTTGTGGAAAAAATGTTTGCTAGGGGCAATCTGTCTGTTGGGGGAAACTTTAGAGATAATTGTATTTAGATTTTATCACAAGAATGTAACTTTTGTTTAAGGAGGGATCATACTTTAGATAATGAGCCAGTTTGACCAATTTAGCCCTTTACTAATTGCATTTTGGAATATCACTTTAATTTACTGATGTTACTACTTTCCATTGTTAAGCTATAATTAACCATAGACAACTTTTTTACACTGCCCATGTCCTTATGTACTACTTTGATGATTGAATCCACTGATTTTTCTTGTAAAACTTCCTTGTCTTGTCAATAAAAAGAAAGGCTGATTTTGGATCGGGGCTGCTCCCCTAATGGGTGGGAGTCCCTCCAGGCCTCATTGATTGTATTTTGAGCAAATTCTTTCTTT